CCCCTCAGTCCACGCCTCAGTAGCACGGGGGCTTTACCTTTGAGTTTAATATCTGGCGAAAAAGATGAAAAGTCTTGAGGAGCGAGCGAGTCCCACTGGAAAGTAATTTCCTGCAATTTAAACTAAAGAAAAATAAGGAAGCGTCTTTGATTTCCGCGTGAAATGGTGGGTGGCACAAATAGCTAGGAGGAGGGGGGAGCCCTCCGAGTGAGGGGAGTGGCGGTTGATCGAATTAAAGTTGATTCAATTTATTATTAGCCTCGACTTATTGGATAACTCTGCTCATTGCCAATTGCAATTGCAAGCTCCAGCTGACTGGAAACTGGCAATCGAAATTAAATAAATCGAATTCTTGTTATATACATAGATACAAGAAAAATGGATAAATATTTATATATTTAAGATTACCTCTTAAAACATAAATGGTACTCATGGACCCTAAAACTATATCTAAAGGAAGTGAAACCTTAAAAAGTGATGTTCTAATAAGGCTGTACTCTAGAACTGTAGTCGTTCTTTATCTTGTTTGTCATTGTGGTCTATTTAATTAAAAATTTATAAATTAGTAAAGCTATTTATTTTATTATCCAACTCAACATTTAAATTCTTTAAATGTATTTTAATTTAAGGAAGAATGAATACTTTACTACTACTACGAGCTGCGAACTGTAAGACCGTATTGATTATGTAGAATATTTGTGATAGCACCCTCAATCCTTAAAAATGTTATATCTTCGAAAAAAAAATATCAAAAACGTAAGAAAATATATATCTCTATACCTTATCTTTGAACTGTTTTGAACAAAACTATTTTTGGCCTTAAACTGAAACCTGAGTGGCCAAAAACAAACAAAAATAGGTACGTCCTGCCAAAAAATTCAAACCTATCTGTAGCATATCGGTCTGCGACTGTTTTGTGTTGGGTTCCTATTTCTTTTAGGCGATTTTTGTTACTTTTTTTGGCAAAGGGGCGGTAGGAGGAGGGTGTAAGAAAAAAACAGGATCTGGGGGTGAAGGACTTCTCCCTAGGAGGTATAACCGCCCCCCCGTTTAGCCGCGACACCAAATGAAATGCCTGAGGGCAGTAAATTTAAGCGCCCGCCAGGACTTTCTGTCCTGCCAGTGTCCTGGGCACGGTGGTAGATGGCCAGTAGTTGCTAGTAGTTGGTAGTTGGCCAACGGAAACGGCAATGGAACGCGGTTTTGGCCACGTGGCGAGCAGAGTATTTACCGCCATGTGCATAGTTTGCAAGTCTGCGCGGCGACACCTGCAGGAGTGGCCAAAACAGCTCCTATCCGCTCCACCTTCTCCCCAAAAAAGGCCCCCTCCCCAGCTCCCTTTGGCAGTATAGAGGACCAACACAGAACCAGACTGAAAAGCAGACATGGCCACTAACAACATCAAAAAGTGCCAAGTGCCAAGTGTTTGCGTTTGCGTTGGTCGCCAAAACGCGGCCCAACAAATTGTTCCTACGCTCCTGCATTTTTGATACCCTGTAATGGAGGGGATAAAGAGAGTATTTGGGATAAAGAAACTACTTATTACAGTAATTTTTTCAGCAATTATTTCATAGAAAGATATTTTATTAAAGCTTTATTAGAGTATATGTAGTTCCAATTTTTGTGGAGTCCCTCCAACTATTATGTTTAAAATTATTAAAGGTAATTATGGCAATTTTTAAATCTGATTTGTAACTAATTTCAACCAAAATATAAACCTAATATTCCACACTTATTAAAAATATTCCTTAGAAATAATAAAAAAAGTTGACATACCATTTATAAGTGAAGTTATAGTATATGGTCCTTTTTTTATGGTCTATATTTGAAAGTTTTCTATCCTTGAAAAGATAGTTTCAAGGGGTAACCTATTCTTCGATTTTTGTTCTAAAAAACCTTTGACATTTTTTCGTAATTTTTTGTATTCTTGTGAAGGGAAAAGGACCTGCTCTCTAATGTGTACTGGACTGGTCCAAGTTTTCTTCTGGCTCGTCCTCCGTTTATATTTCGCTTTTTTCCGAAACTTTTTTTTTTATTTTCGTAGTCGTTTGGCTTGTTTTGTTTTGTACACTTGTTGGCTACTCTTTTATGCACATCGATTTTCGCTCAGTGCTTTTTATTTGCAGTGGTGTAAGGGGGTGGGGCTGGGGCAGGACAGGAGGTGCAGGACATGCAGGACATGGAAAGGTGGAGCCTTGCATCGGAGTTGTTTGTTTGGCAGTGTTTGTTTATGTGCCGTAACTGGTTGGTGAGAAAAAAGGTTACAAAAAAAAAAGAAATGGCTAGGAGAGAAAGGGAATGGAGAAAGGGTGGAGGGAGGGGTTAAACTTTTTAAAGCGACATTTAACGATGCTCTAAAGTTGAGAGCACACCCCGACACTCGAAAAGGAAGAGTGAGTGTCGCATGAGTGCATTCATTCACTCAGCCGCACTCGTTCACATTCGGCGAGTACTCACTTGACACCCAAGTAATTATATATTTTTAAGCACTCTCCTTTTTTCTCGGTGTAAAAAAAGGAAAAAATATCCTAGAAATTTAACGAAAAACTGAAAAGCAGGAACCTTGAAGTAAAGCGACAAGCCGCGCCACAAAAACTCAAAATTCACACGGAAAATTGTGAAAGTGCGGTGATGGTTTTTGGTGGGCTTAGGGGAGGGGAGCAGGTCCTGGGGATGCTTGTGATGATTCATTTTGCAATATTGCATATTGTGCGTCGCACTTAAATTCAATTAAGCTACAAAGGCAGTTACACAACACAACACAAGAGGGCAGCCATACAGGGAGCGCAGACGAGAAGGACCAAAAAGGACCCAAAAGGACCCCGAGAACCGGGTACCGGGTACCGGGAACCGGGCACCACAAGCGTCCAATAACCCATCAGCTGTCGCACCACCGAAACCACCCACTCCACGGCAGGCAACCGCCAACTCACAACCACTCTCCAGACAGCACTGTCAGAACAAAAGGATATCCGAAAATAAATAAATCTCTAAAGTTGTAAGGCTTTCTGTTTAGTGATTTCTCTCAGTGCTTCAGACTTCACGGCATTGCCCTTCGTGCACTCACTCATTCATTGATTCATGCACCAATTCCCTCAACCATTCAAGTCCCTCATTCAATCATTTCTGGCGAGTCCTCGAAGCCATTTCTTTGGCTTTATAGTTTTTCGCTTCGAGGGCTCGAAGACGGCATTGTTATTTAGTATTTTCCCTAAACACAAGACCATTTGATTTCAATGGCATATAGTACGACTTGAAAGCCCTAAAACGGGGACTAAGTAAATGGCTAAAAATACCCATCATTTCCAGGGTATCCGGATGGATGTTTTTTAGGTGAAAAAAAAGCTAACGATAGTGGCAGTGTGACGGGTGTGCCTCTAACTTCATTTACACGCTTTTCAACGAGCTCCATTTAAATGTTTTCCCAGGTGTGTCAGCTACACGTACAATACGGGGGGAATTGGTAGAACTATCGGGATTTGGCAGTTGCAGAATATAATTTAATTGTCAATAAATAACCGATTAGAATTGATATTTGCAATATATCCATATTTGGGAGCTTTGGAAGTAATTAGGATTTTAATTTAATATTTTATTATCCTTTAATTTTATGGAAACGAATAAAATATGTTAGTTGTATTTTTAAACCTAATACCTTATGGCTCTTAGCTATCCCAGAATACAAAAGGTTTATGATTTATGAATCATAAAGATTTAAATTGTACGACAGAATATTAATGGTTATGGATATTTATGGATGTAAACCACATAATTTGTGATTAATTTTGTATACCTTATAACTAGGATCTTCTCACAAAGGAATTTCTATTGTGCTATATCCCTGACCTCTACTATAAATAAATATATGTATATTTGAACATACATACATATGTATATCTAGTTACTGCGGGCAGGTGGCAGGTGAGTGGGTGAGTGAGTGGATGTGGAAGAGGAACTTCCGTAACTGTATTCGCACGAATCCTTGGCTTTGCATCTCGCAGATGCCTCGCTGCCATGTAGAACTAATTCCATTAAAGCCAGCTCTAACTTGATTTTCAATTGACTCCTCATTTGCAGTGGTGCGACGGTGCGGCGGTACGGCGGTGCTGGGACTCAGTCGGTGGGTCAGGACTCGGTGCTGTCAGCAATCAACATGTTCAATTGAGCATATCCTGCCGGCTGCAGGACACTATACCAGAGAAATGTGATTACCCGACGCTATTTTCAACACACACACACACACACACATCCATCCGAACATTCGCAGGACTAGAAAGAGATGGCGCAATGGGGTATCGAAAAGAGATGGTACGATAGAGGGCGTTAGAAAACAAGGACACAACATGATGAAGATGGAAGAACGAAGTCCAGCGGGCGCCTTTTACATTTCATTGGATTTTATGCGTTTCACTTTATGCTGATGTTTTTATTATTAAATTTTCTTGAATTTTCATTTACATTTTCTGGCTTTCTTAGCGCTGTTCCATCTCTTTCTATCCCCGTTCTGTCGTTCTATCTCTATCCGGTATTTCGTTTACCCCCCGATTCTCTGTCTCTTTTTGGTCGTTAGTGTTGTCGCTGTTGCTGATGACTCCTCTTCATTTTCACACTTTTCATTCAATTTATTGCATTTCGCAAATTGAGTGTCGCTTTCCTTAGATCTTCTCGCTTTTTTTTTTGTAATTTTTCGTCCTGGCCACATCATCATCCTGTCCTGTTTTCTCACTTTCCTAATTTTCCACAGCGCTGGAAAAATATGCGAAAGAAATCTCCTACAAAATAAAAAAGTAGCCAATTCGATTTGGGTATTTAAAGGAGCTCTACAAAGTGTTCTTAAAGGATATACAATTTTGATAGCCGGAATTGTTTCCTACAGATATCCTATAAGGTAGACACCATGATACAGGTTCATTAGGTATTTTAGTGTTGGTAATCGTAAAGTGATTTCCATTAAAGACTACCAAGGAAATAAAGTACTACCCAATTTTAATTCATTTAGCTTGAAGGCTTAGAATATTATTATTAACACAAAAATACAAGTTGTATATAGATACATACAGAGTTCAAATAATAACAAACAAAAATTATTATTATTAATTCTTTAAATTTCCATCTGAGGACTCATCGTCGCTGCCATCCTGGGTCTCGGTGTCCTCGGGAGCATCCTCGGTGAGCATGGGACTGACGTCCATCTTGGCGGAGATCTGAAATCCCACCATCTCGTTGCCGTTCTGGGTCAGCCCGGCCACCTGGTCGGAAGTCAGGATAATGACGCGTCCGCTCTTTAGAACCTTCAGAGGGCGGCGGCTGGTTCGCAAGTCGTACGGCTGTCCAGTGTAGGATACAATGCATTCGGGTCTATCGCCCTCCAACGACCACATGGTGAGAGTGATGCGCAGAGGCAGGAGCTCCGAGTTGACGGTGGTGGCCCATACTACGGTCAACTCCTCTTCCGAGTTCGGGTCGGCCGTAATGTCACCCAGCTTGATATGCATGCTCATCACCATTATCGGCAGAAGATCCTTTACCACATCCTTTCCAAAGCCCGTGACCACGTTCTTCAACAGCATTACGGCATGGCATTTGGGCACGTTGCGAAGCGTCAGGCGAAGATCCAAGCTGAAGATCTTTGGCTGCCCTAGACGAATCTTTGAGATGGTCCAGAAACGATGGCAATTCACCAAGTGATCGTTTAGTTCTTCCAGAAAGATACTTGACGAGCAATTAAACTCTGGGCATTTGGCCACATTAAAGTTCTTCAACATGTCCTCCATGGCGATCGGCAGTTGCACCGACATCACACCCTTGCGAAGCTTCATGAGCTTATCGAAGTAGACTGTCGGACATGACACGATCGACGAGTGCCATGCCTGCCAAGTGCGTCCCGTATAGACCACACGGCGTACCTGAAAGGATGTTGTTTGGATTAAAAATAATCAATCTTTAGAGTTCTAATTCCCTTTACCATGGAAATCAAGTTGCAAAGTGCATTCGGATTTGCGTTGAGAGGATTGGAGCCTAGAAGTGATAAGGAGTAGATGTGTGGCCGGCCAAGAACATCATACTTCACCGGCAACACAATCTTCCCGCGCTCCGTTTCGGTGCCGACCTCCTTCTTTTCAGGCTCTAACTTTAACAAAGCCGGGTTAACCTGCTTCGACGCCTTCTTCAAACTCACTGACAACGAGACGCCGCTCAGATTTCCATCACGCTCACTGTTTCGAGGATCCTTTGGGACCATGAAATTCTGTGAAGTCGGTTCCGACTCCTCGGTCGGATTGGCTGATTTGGCATTGGCCTCGCGCTGTGATTTAGTACAAATAGTCTTCTCATTGGCCACAGAACTGCTGCGACTTCGCGTCATCACCCCTACATCCTTTCGCTCTGCTACCTCCGATAGGGAGCGCTTCCTCTCCAAAAGGTCCCTTTTCTTCTCCAAAACGTAGTTTCCGCGGTTTTTTTTGGAGTCGACTGACAAGTTGGCAGGATTATCGTTCTGGAAGAGGACTATCTTTCCTTTCTTGATTGGCTGTGAGGTTGGAGAAGTCGTGCGTGGTGACATAGCCAACTCGAGGTGCAATTTGACGCTGAGCAAGTGTGTGGTCCCGCCACAGAATCCGCAGTGGCAGGCCATGCTTTCGTCACACTCGAGGCATTGGTAGTGCTCCATTTTGCACACACAGACCTGCGGAGTGGTCACCCGCGAGAAGGGCCGAAGAATGGCACGTTGGCACATTACACAGTTCATACTTAAATTAAATTTTTGAATTTAATTTTTAGTTACAAAATATAAATTTACGCTCCGTTTTGGAAAAGCCTGAACCGGGCAAAAGTTTACGAATAACTGAAAAATATAAGGACAAGTAAGTCACAATTACGAAAACTAAAGTGACAGAAAAGGCACAAGCTTCTAAAATAATGTTTTTAAGGAACTTAGAAAGTAAATAAATGTCAGCTTGCTTTTTTGAATTAAAAGTAACTCAAATTGTGTTTATTTATTCTAGTTTTTATTTTCAAACCATGCTTTTTAATGTTTATTAGCAGACTTTTGTATTTTAATGGTCACTCCACGTATCTAGCGATTTCCAACACTGCTTTGCAAGTGGTGCCATCAGGTATTATCAAAAAATTGAAGGCACTATAAATACAAATTTTTAAATAAAACAAAACTGTAAAAAAGCTGGGAATTAAGAACAAGCCTTTTTTATCAAAAGCCCATATATTAAAATTCTCTTAAGAAAATCTGGCATCACTAATCATCGATAGCTCGATAACTCAGCGAGCATGTAGTGTTGGTAAACGATGTATCTGGCACTGCCGCCATTACGAATCAACAATCAAAATGGCCGCCACTTGAGCTTAAGAACTAGAAACTAAATGTTTATTGCTAGCCGTTTTTAAATAATTTTATAAAAACAATTGATGGATGTGGATCGAATCTGACTTTATTTGACATTCAGTTGCCTTTCGTCTACATTTCACCGCTCCACTGACTTACTTCGCCCTAAAAAGCCTTGCTTGTTTTCTGGGAACAAACAAAGCGACCTGGCAAAATCGGAATCATGTGAAGGCCTTCATCAAAATCTCCAAATTATCCGAACCGAATACGGAGCAACATACAAATTCTCAACGCACAAACTTAAAATATATGTTTATTTTTTTGAAATCTTAACCAAGCTCTGAGAATACAATAGAAGTCAGGATGTCCAGCGATCCACCGGAAATGGAAACCGAAGCGAACCAGGAACAAGAGCAGGAGGATCAGGAACCAGATGCGCCCATAGAAGTACCGTCGATCAGCAGCATGAGCAGTTCCGAGGACGAGGCCGTTCCCAGCACCAGTCACCGTCCACCGGTGATGACATGCCCGGTTGCCCGCTCTGTGCTAGGCAACACCACCGGGCCATCTGTTCCTTCGCCGATGGTGGCAGCACCGTTAAATGGCTGTTCAGTGCGAATCAAGCGGGAGCTGCAGGAGATCCGAAAGCAGCCACCGCCAAACTGCTCCGCTGACATGCTTCGTGACGATCTCTTACACTGGACGGCGGGCATTAATGGACCCACTGGCACCGTCTACGAGGGCGGGTACTTCCGGCTAGACATCCGCTTCCCGCCGACCTATCCGTTTCGGCCGCCCCGCATCCGGTTCACCACCCGAATCTATCACTGCAACGTGGATAGCCGCGGTGCCATTTGCCTGGATGTTCTTGGTGAGCGCTGGTCGCCCGTCATGAACGTGGCCAAGGTCCTTCTGTCCATCTATGTCCTGATGGGCGAATGCAATCCGGACGATCCGCTGGTCATGTGCATTGCCGATCAGTACAAGACCAATCGCAATGAGCACGACAAGATCGCCCGCCACTGGACCCAACGCTTCGCCATGCCCAAGGAAAGCAAAGACACCAAACAGGACATCGATACTACCGATAATACACAAGAGCAACAGCAGGATCAGCAAAATCATGTTTAAAATCAGCAGCAGCAGTATCAGCAGGGACAGCAGTCCTCGGCAAAGGATTAGAAGGTCTGGAGCCTCGTCATGCACTCTTCCAAATCGATCACTTGGTTATTTTACATTTTGCCTTTAGCATTAAACAATTATAATATATCAAGGCGTGCAATCTTATGGTTTTTCTTTATTTATTTAATTTATCAATGATTGAGATTCCTTGAAAAACTTATTGCTATTATTTTAGTTTGCATTTCATTATATATATTTGCATTTTTATTTTCTGAGCTATAGTTTAGCCAAATGTATAATATTTAGAAATTCAATCAATCATTCTTTTAATAATAATACGAATATCAAAAGGTCTATAAGGTTTTATTTTTATATGAAATTTGTGACCTATGTAGGTATGAAGTTTAATTTTTAAAAATTCGAATAAGAAAAAATGTCAGTGTTGTGCCTCTGATTTTCAAAAAAATCTGTAAAACTTGGAAAAAATATGTATTTATATTTTATATAAAATATTTTGTATTGATAGACAGCCACGAAGATCGTAGGAAGAATAAGTAAGATGGAGAATCCATCCACACCGATAGAAGAGACACCCCAGCATCGATGAATACCCCGGCTCAGTCGAGACATGTGACCTTAACCCATGGGGTAGTCTTATTATTTAGTTTACAATACTTTAGTTCATAAAAATTATCCGGAACCAACAACGACCGCCTAGTAACAATAGAGCCTTCCTATACTTTTGCTACTTTGGATGGCAATTATCTTCCATTTATCCAATTGAAGTGAAAAAAATATCAAAAAAAAAGATGCAGCAGACTGCATTGAATGTAATCCAATATTGCACTTAACAATTTAGCGAGTAAGCAACTCTCTCAAAAAAAAAAACACAAAACTTAATACTAGTTAGTAAGCTAGTTAGTTTGTTAGTTAGTAAAAAAAAAAAAAAGAAAACATAAACAGAATAGGTTTTCTTGAGTTGGTAAGCGCGTAGACTTAAACGGAGTTCCCACCAGCACTTCCCACCAGAAACAGCAGGAACAGAGGAACCAACGAAAGAAAGAATACAAAAATAAAAGAGGTTTAAAAACAAATTAATTAAAAAAAGAAATTGACTATGATTGCTTAAAATTGCTTAAATGGTCGGCAATGGGTTGAATAAGGAAAGGCCCTTCTGGGTTCGCTGATTACAAACCCGTACTTTATTTCCTGATCGGATGGAAAAAATCAAAAAAAAATAAAAAGATATTTAGGAAATGGTTTGAATGAGGAAGGTTCCTAGTCGAGACCTGTGCTCTGGAGTCGATCGCCCCAACGCCATAACCCATGGGTCAGTCTTATTATTTAGTTTACAATACTTTAGTTCTTAGAAATGATCCGGAACCAGCAACAACAGCCTTGTAACAAATGCTCCTTCCTATAATTTTGCTACTTTAAATGGCTATTATCTTCCATTTATCCAATTGAAGTAAAAAAAATTATTTTTTTTTATGAAAAAATTTATAAAAGATAATAAGATTTCAAAATGAAAATAAAAATTATAAAATGATCGGCCAACATTTCCTTTCTAAAGCACGAGGAGGAAAGAAAGAATCATCGAAAAAAATAACAAAAAAAATAAAGTACATAAATACAAAATTATTAGAAAAAAACAATGTAAGTTGCAAAGATTAAAAAAGAAAAATAAAAAGAAAATAAGAGCGAGTTCTTTACTGTCTTTAAGCACTAACCATACAGCATATAGACAACCCATTTCATACAACGAAAATGGACGCGAAAATTTCTTGCGACAGGCCCCAGCAGGCCCCAGAGCGGATTTCTTACGCTCTCTTACGCTCATCGTTCGTTCATCTTACGCTCATTCTCGCAATAAATGTTTTCTGTTTCTCAGTCTCTAAACGGAGCGCGATGAAGAAGGTTGGCCTGCGCTTCGGTTGATCTTTGTATGTATGCGTGTCACACATTCACATACATGGGTGTATGTGTGCGTGCGATTTCGTTTCGAAGCCAGCGCACAAAATTTTGATTTTTCTTACTTTTAAGGCTTGCTACCCTAACAAAATTCGGGTATTCGTTATTTGATGAAATGACGAAAGAAATTATATTATTTTTATTTTATTTTTTTTATTATTTCAGCATACATTTTTAATTTATTTAGGAATAAGATTAAGTGTTAGTAGTAAAATGTTTTCTGTATATATATTTTTACGAATCATTAAAAATCAATATACTGAGAAAGTGTCAGAGTATATTTCGGTCGGAGTCACTTAAAGCGCCGTTTGCTTTTAAGTTTTTGTTGTTCTGCAAGAGGCTTGTGCATGCCTACTCTAACGATGGAATGATTTTTAGGGGAGGGTGAAGACACGAAAACAGCTGATGGACTTGTTTACCTTTTTTGTTTACAATTTTTCAGGCACTTGTTATTATATTTTGGGTTATTGTGAGATTTAATTAAATTATTGTCGTTAATTTAATAATTTCCTTATATATATTTCCTTATATATAATAACTTTAAAAAGTAATTTAATTCTTCACCCGTCTTCACCCTCCCCTAAAAATCATTCCATCGTTAGAGTAGGCATGCACAAGCCTCTTGCAGAACAACAAAAACTTAAAAGCAAACGGCGCTTTAAGTGACTCCGACCGAAATATACTCTGACACTTTCTCAGTATATTGATTTTTAATGATTCGTAAAAATATATATACAGAAAACATTTTACTACTAACACTTAATCTTATTCCTAAATAAATTAAAAATGTATGCTGAAATAATAAAAAATATAATATACAAAATAATATAATTTCTTTCGTCATTTCATCAAATAACGAATACCCGAATTTTGTTAGGGTAGCAAGCCTTAAAAGTAAGAAAAATCAAAATTTTGTGCGCTGGCTTCGAAACGAAATCGCACGCACACATACACCCATGTATGTGAATGTGTGACACGCATACATACAAAGATCAACCGAAGCGCAGGCCAACCTTCTTCATCGCGCTCCGTTTAGAGACTGAGAAACAGAAAACATTTAATGCGAGAATGAGCGTAAGATGAACGAACGATGAGCGTAAGAGAGCGTAAGAAATCCGCTCTGGGGCCTGCTGGGGCCTGTAGCAAGAAATTTTCGCGTCCATTTTCGTTGTATGAAATGGGTTGTCTATATGCTGTATGGTTAGTGCTTTAAGGCAGACAGAAACTGATTCTTTTCAGGACAGAACCTCGTTTTATACGAAATGATTCCACAGACGGACCATACTCGTGCATACTCTTGACACTATTCAACACTCAACGTTTTTCAACACTTTTTATTAATATACAGATATGAGACAGCCAAAAAGCCTATCGATATCTATATATTTTATCAGTTTTTTTCTTAAGATCTTTTGTGATCTTGATCTTGATCTTAAGTCTACTACGATCTCATGTATTTAGAGTTCTTAAATTATTTTTGCGATAACGATATTATAACGATATATAACGATAAACACATACCGATAAACACTAAACCTTAACCAGCACTGAACGAAAAGTGAAAATAAAATGACGTATCGATTATAACCTGGAACCTCGTGAGCATTAAAAAGTGAGTCTAAAAAGTCCAAGTCTAAAAATTAAGTGAAAAAAACGTGAAAAACAAAAGTAATACGAAGCCCATAACTATTAGCAAGGTAAGAATTCCCAAGAACAAGAACCCATCTAATGCAACGATTATTTTGGAAAGCACTTTCTTCGTTTTAATGGGTTTCCGTATGATGCCGCAGAATGTAAGCCACTCGACAGTTTTTGAATTCCCAACTCCGCCACCTTAAGGCGAGTCATTCTCAAAATACTGCCGGCATAATGTTGTTGGTAACACCCCCTTCCCCATCCCATACCACAACGCGCCACCCTTTTTGGCCAAAACGCCCCTGGAATGCTGACTGTGTCAGATAGCCCACGCCATCGGAGGTCCTTTTTGGGGGCGCTCATGTCTATGAATATTCATGAGCTGCCAAAAAATGAACGTTGAAAAAACACATCCACGGCCCAATGGCCCAATGGTCGCTGCTGCCTGATGGCGCATGGTGGCGGGTTTTTTGTTGGCCAAGGTGTTGCTGCCATTCTGGCCATCGTGGCAGGATGGCTTTGAAAAATGAATTGGAACGCGAACGGTTTAAGGATCCGCCGGGATGCAGCCGGGAAGCCATCAGCGATACAGCCTCAAAAGAGGATACATGCCGCGGAATGGGGTCAAGCCCAAAAGTTGAGTGCCAGACAGAGTCCTAGAATTCTTTAATGCCCACATGGCACACTAAACGACCCACCGACCGACTCCTGGATAAACACAATTAATATTTAGCATCCCGTACTACCCCTCAGCAGGGTAACCTAATTTCTCTCGTTACAAATGAAATTTTATGTTATGAACTGTCTATTAAACAGGATACTCCTTTGTAGTCCCATACCGGTTTATTTTTTTTCCAGAAATTGCAAAATCTATCCTGTTTTATTTTAAGAAACTAAAGGTATTCATTCAGGTTAATAAAAAAAAAAACAGTGCCAATTTTCGCCTGGAAAATCTTAATTTCTGCCATCCCAAGAGGGTGTGACACAAGGATAACCAAAGTGACACAACAGCCCTCGAAGGACACCCAGGAAATCGTCCTTACCGGCTCTGGGCTGTGGGCTGCGAAAGGCAGACATCGGGCAAGGAGTCGCAAGGATGACAATGTCGTCAAATGGCGAATAAGAGTGCCCTTCCAATATCGCCACCCATTTGCTGTCTGATGGCTGTCTGTTTTGTTCCGCACTGTACTGTGTGTGCACTGTATCCCCGGCAAGTCAAACGTTAATGAACTTAAAGAAATTAATTAAAGTGGCAGGCGATGGCAGATAGCCCACATATGCCACACACACACACCCCTCCTTGGGTTAATGTCTGTCCCGTTTATTGGAATCGACATCCTGGCAGGATCAGAGGGAATGGGGCACTTCCACCCGTTCTCTTCCAGAGCAAATGCAATAAAAGCAACTTGCTGCTCCTCCTCTACGTCCACGCCCACGTTCACGTCCTCGTCCTCGTTGTTGTCCACCACTTTGTCCTTTTTTCACGTCCTGAGACAGCTTGACCCT